TTGAATTCATACTAACATGGAAAGGTTGAGGGGGTAGTCAGAAACAAGAAAATACCAGTGGCGTACACTCGATCGACCTACGAATGGAGAACCATACGAAAATATACAAAACTGTAGGATTATTCAAAAACTTGTACTCTGTAGAATAATTTATTAATGCCCGTATTACATCTGTGTATTTTTCAGTGTATTTATTCATGTAGTTCAGAGTGCCAACATTATTTTGTTTTCCATAATGATGGTTTATGTTGCGTTTGAAGTTTTTCGGTTGTCACCCTGAACTACATGAATAAATACACGGAAAAATACACAGATGTAATACAGGCATAACTGAGACGTCCTCAATATTCATATTAATGCAGTTTTCTTCACAGAAACGGAGTTCTTCAACATATTATCAAGTAGGTAGGTAATATAAATCTGCGCTGAGGGGGTAGTCACTGTGGAAATCTGTTGTCCTACGGGATGGAGATCTCATGGAGATCCGGTGGAAATAGGTGGAGATGAGGGTGGAGATCCAAAAACTTCGACTGCAGACGTGTAGAATTGGAAAAGCGTAATTGCGTGCGAGAGTGATAGTTTGACATTTCTGCGCCCTCCGTGCTCCGGAGGAGATTTATCAGTAAGCTGTATCAGACCTGCATAGCTGTATACAGTTTGGGACAGGTCTGTATACAGCTATACAGGTCTGATAGAGCTTTAAACAAGTTAGGTCTGTATACAGTTTTAGACAGACTTGTATAGCTGCATACAGACCTGTCCAAAACTTTAAACCGCTATATACATCTAGAGATAGCTTACTGATAAATTTCCTCCGGAGGACGGAGGGCGCAGAACTGTCAAACTATCACTACTCGTGTGCACATATCATTTCAACTTGTTAATGTATATGGAAGTCTAGAGGAGATACATGAAGATTCATGAAAATCCCAATGATCTCCCAAAGAGATGAAGATCTAAGGATACCTATCCCTGGAGATCCAATAAGGTTAGCATATGAAGATCTATGGAGTTCCTAGAAGATGGCGATGGACAAAGAATTTTTCAACTTGCATAACAAGAAACTCTGTAAGGAGAGATGTGCCAGACTTTCACGTAGAAATTTTTTGTCCAATCGAGTAATTTATATAACTGGAATCGGGACACTGTAAATGCACCCCTCGTATAAATCCTATCTAGTAGAAGAACTTGTCCTATAAAATTGTCCTGTATAAATATTATCGTAAATAGTTTAATGAAAATAATGTTTTTTGATTCTTCGGTTGGTTGCTCTTGTGAAAACTCCCTTCCATAATCCATTCAATAAGCCATTGCTACTAGCAAATTGCACATCCATTATGCATTCATTGTTGTCTGACTCCATCGAAACAATTTAACTTAAATGATTTGATGTTGTATTCAATTATTGCACCCTTTTAGTTTTTAAACACAGGATGTCGTGATGTTTCAAGAAAAATAAATACCATCCCTTATAGGCAAAGGCAATAAGTCATTGAAATTCAAAGTGTAACGTTTCCGCTCTCTATTCTTAGATGCTAATTTGTAATGAAAATAGATCCCACTTGAAACTACATTTTTGTAATGTCTAAGAGCGTTGAACCTCCAACATTGTACGAAAATGTATATTAAACATTTCTTTAGGTATATTATGTGAATTGCGTGGAAAATATAGGGTCAAACAGTAGGTAACCTTGGCTACCAATAGCAGAACAACAACAACAATAATTAATCACAATCACCTTATATGGTAAAGGTTGGTCTCGGTCTCGAATCGATGAAAATAAAATTGAAAACTTTATCATTTATTCACACATTTTTGTGAGTATTTTTCAATGTTGGGGGATTATGTAACAATGATCAACGAATATCAGTGAACATAATTACAAAACAATGATTAAACAACTCATGTAGAACTTTTTCAGTTTTTCGTAAATCGATTACAAAGGCAAAACATCATTATTCTGTTGGAAATATATTTCTAAATATATTGATTGATATTTCCACATTATTTATGTTGGGCTACACAATACACAAGTACTTATTTCATTTTTGTAATTTATTTATAGGAATTACCGCATTAACAGAGAGGTCGGGGGCAACCAAAATTAATTGAATTTTTTATGCGGTTGATATTGAAGGATTGCAAAATTTACATACACGATCATGAATTAAAAAATTGAACTAGACTTTGTGGGGTTGAAGTGTTGCAATTTTTATTTTTAGATAATATGACTGTCTGATGTCTGTCGAACATTTTCTGAACAACTTCAAATTTTAAAGAATTATAAAAAGAAACTTCTTTTATTGAAAATGTCAAACCGCAAGTTGATATTTTGCTCAGATTCTGAGTTATAGCTAACTTTTTAAAATTAGTTCAATTTACACGGACAAATTGAATTTTGATAGTATGTCAAACATTTTTCTGCTTTTCTCGAGCAACTTCAAATTTCGAAAAACTATAAAATGAAACTTCTTCTATTGAAAATTTCAAGCTGCAAGTTGATACTTTGCTCAGAATCTGAGTTATAGCCCTTTTTTTAAATTAGTTCAATTTACACGGACAAATTGAATTTTGATAGTATGTAAAACATTTTCTGCTTTTCTGAGCAACTTCAAAATTCGAAAAACTATAAAATGAAACTTCTTCTATTGAAAAATTTCAAGCTGCAAGTTGATACTTTTCTCAGAATCTGAGTTATAGCCCTTTTCTTAAATTAGTTCAATTTACACGGACAAATTGAATTTTGATAGTATATGTCAAACATTTTCTGCTTTTCTGAGCATCTTTAAATTTTAAAGAATTATGAAATGAAACTTCTTTTATTGAAAATGTCAAACCGCAAGTTGATATTTTGCTCAGATTCTGAATTATAGCCAACTTTTTGAAATTAGTTCAATTTACACGGACAAATTGAATTTTGATAGTATGTCAAACATTTTCTGCTTTTCTCAGCAACTTCAAATTTCGAAGAAATATAAAATGAAACTTCTTCTATTGAAAATTTCAAGCTGCAAGTTGATACTTTGCTCAGAATCTGAGTTATAGCCCTTTTCTTAAATTAGTTCAATTTACACGGACAAATTGAATTTTGATAGTATATGTCAAACATTTTCTGCTTTTCTGAGCATCTTCAAATTTTAAAGAATTATAAATGAAACTTCTTTTATTGAAAAATGTCAAACCGCAAGTTGATATTTTGCTCAGATTCTGAGTTATAGCCAACTTTTTGAAATTAGTTCAATTTACACGGACAAATTGAATTTTGATAGTATGTCAAACATTTCTGCTTTTCTCAGCAACTTCAAATTTCGAAGAAATATAAAATGAAACTTCTTCTATTGAAAATTTCAAGCTGCAAGTTGATACTTTGATCAGAATCTGAGTTATAGCCCTTTTTTTAAATTAGTTCAATTTACACGGACAAATTGAATTTTGATAGTATGTCAAACATTTTCTGCTTTTCTGAGCATCTTCAAATTTTAAAGAATTATAAAATGAAACTTCTTTTATTGAAAATGTCAAACCCGCAAGTTGATATTTTGCTCAGATTCTGAGTTTAAGCCAACTTTTTTAAATTTAGTTCAATTTTACATGGACAAATTGAATTTTGATAGTATGTCAAATATTTTCTGCTTTTCTGAGCAACTTCAAATTTCGAAAAAACTATAAAATGAAACTTCTTCTATTGAAAATTTCAAGCTGCAAGTTGATACTTTTCTCAGAATCTGAGTTATAGCCTTTTTCTTAAATTAGTTCAATTTACACGGACAAATTGAATTTTGATAGTATATGTCAAACATTTTCTGCTTTTCTGAGCATCTTTAAATTTTAAAGAATTATAAAATGAAACTTCTTTTATTGAAAATGTCAAACCGCAAGTTGATATTTTGCTCAGATTCTGAGTTATAGCCAACTTTTTAAAATTAGTTCAATTTACACGGACAAATTGAATTTTGATAGTATGTCAAACATTTTCTGCTTTTCTGAGCAACTTCAAATTTCGAAAAACTATAAAATGAAACTTCTTCTATTGAAAATTTCAAGCTGCAAGTTGATACTTTTCTCAGAATCTGAGTTATAGCCCTTTTCTTAAATTAGTTCAATTTACACGGACAAATTGAATTTTGATAGTATATGTCAAACATTTTCTGCTTTTCTGAGCATCTATTAAATTTTAAAGAATTATAAAATGAAACTTCTTTTATTGAAAATGTCAAACCGCAAGTTGATATTTTGCTCAGATTCTGAGTTATAGCCCACTTTCTAAAATTAGTTCAATTTACACGGACAAATTGAATTTTGATAGTATGTCAAACATTTTCTGCTTTTCTGAGCATCTTTAAATTTTAAAGAATTATAAAATGAAACTTCTTTTATTGAAAATGTCAAACCGCAAGTTGATATTTTGCTCAGATTCTGAGTTATAGCCCACTTTCTAAAATTAGTTCAATTTACACAGACAAATTGAATTTTGATAGTAGATCAAACATTTTCTGCTTTTCTGAGCATCGTCAAATTTTAAAGAACTATAATAAATGAAACTTCTTTTATTGAAAACATCAAATCGCGAATTGATATTTTGCTCAGAATTTGAGTTGTGATTTTTTTTCTAAATTAGTTCAATTTTCATGGACTAATTGAATTTTGATAGTCTGTCAAACATTTTCTGAGCAACTTCAATTTTCAAAGAACTCTAAAATGAAACTTCTTATATTGAAAATGTTAAACCGCAAGTTGATATTTTGCTCAGAATCTGATTTATAATCGATCAAAACCTAAAAATCCGCATACAGGGGGGTTTCAAAACCGCTGATTGAACGTGTTGGAACACACCTTACATCTTCTCGCATAGTAGGCGATTTTCAAGAATAATAAAAACTACCTTTTAAGTATATCTGTCTTTTTTTTTTCACATCCCTTATAAAGAGACACACATACTTAATTTTTCAGCTTAATTGCTACTAGACAAGTATTTGAATAAAAAAATGAAAATTCTTACCTGGTAGTACTTCTAAAAAAATTGTTGCTCTCCCTGTTCATCAATTCCGATCGGAATTTCGACATTTCCTCTTCCATTTTCCGCATTTCCGCGTCGAATCGTTCCCTGATGCTGGAAAATTCGGTGTCGATAACACTGAAATCGCCCATCTTGATCGGAATATCTCTTCTGGTTTCAGCCATTTTTTTGCGTATCGGTGTGTTTACTCGAAAAAATTCCAAATCACAAAAAAAAAATTGATCACTACACGCACACTCCGTCTATATTTAAACCGCAGGAGGCAGGAACGTATTCGATTTCTATTTTATTTTGAACCGGTGCGTCTACACTGGGCGACTAATTTGCTGCTGAATGAAACTGTACGCGATACGGGGCCGGGGTTTTAAATAGAAACATTCATTTTTGGGGGCCCCGAGAACTTGCGCTTTAAGTTCGTTCCAATGTAGGTTCCCTCTTTAACGCATTCAATCGAATCGGGCTAAACAAAGACGGATCTATGCTAGAGGGAACAATGTTCAAGAATATAACTTTTGGAATTGGTGGGCTTTGAACCTGAATACTTACAAACCAGGCCAGAACCAAAATTTATTGTCTAGTTGATGAGAACTTGTAGATGAGAACAATGAAATTATGATAAGGAGGTACTTGAGATTTGTTAGATAATAATGGGAAATCTAAAAAGTTACCAGAAATATGAGATTTCATACTTTTTTGGAAAGTTTGGGTCTATTCTCTACTAGTTCTATCTAGCTGAGTGCTGAGTTCGGCTTTGCACTCCACGGAGCGGAACGGTATGGACATGAATATCATGACGTCAGATGCGGTTATAAGCCCAACGCAAAAGGGAACACTCTGAGAAGTAAAACGAACCAGAATCTTATCGTTTCAAGCATGTTCAGAGTTCACAGAGTGTAAAGCCGAACTCAGCCTAAGATAGTTTTAAAAATTGGAACCAGGAATAAAGAGATTGCTTAAGTTTTTAATACCACAACTTCAAAGTTATATAGGCTGAAAAGTTTCCACTCCATTATCATGATCCATTCTCCAAGAAGTGGCGCCAAATATAATTAATCATGCAGCTTGTTTGTTCTCCGGCCGATTCATTGCATGCAGGCCCAATCTGTTTAAATCTACTCTTTCTCTATACGCCCAGTCATTGATGCACCTACACTTATTTTTCCATTATTGCAACCTTATTAGAATATCGAATAATCTATCCATTTTTATTATGAACGCCAATAAAAATTGATGACGTATTGAAAACGAGAGGGCGATAAAATTCTAGATCGCCGTGGAAAAATAAAACGTACGTGTGTATTTATTTTTGGCCCACGCGCGCTTTTTTTGAAAATTGTCGTGACGAGTTCTCGCTTATTTTGGAGTTTGTAGTTTTGTTTATTTAATTCCTAGGAATTTATTTTGTCATGCACAATTCGTGTGGGTATACTCATTGAATCAGAAACTCCCACAACAGGCTAAGTATTTATTGAATTATCTGTAGCTTAGTAATGTTTTTAATTTAATTGAATTAAAAATAGGTGCACAGCACTGACTAACATGTAAAAGTGTGATATTAGAGTGTCATGAAAATAGGTATTTAGTATAATCATAGTTGAAAATTCAAAGGCCTGAGGTGTGTTCTCACAAGAGTCTCTGTCAGAGAGAGACTCCTGTGAGAACAGACCTCAGCTGGAGGACTATGTAACGAATAGAAATATTTTCTCTATCTCTATTGACATAATCCCTTCTCTATTGATTTCGGAAAGAGAGAAGAACACAGCAAGTGCCATAGAGATAGAAATAACGATCTCTATTCCTTACATTAGTCCTCTAGCTGCTGACCTCTGGAAAATAAGGAAATTTTGCGAGCCAATGAGTAAAAAGATAAAAGAAATTCTAGAGCATGATAAGAAAAAATAAGAAAAATTCAAGAGCCTAAAAGAGAAAATAATTTTTCTTCAAATATTTACTCTTCATTTCTCATTTTCTTCGTTCAACTTTTGTCTATTTTAGGCTCTTGAAAGTTTCCATTAATAATAACAACAACAACCGATCGAATATTCGCGAAAAATAAGATGGAGAAACCCAAAATTCAGCCTAAAGAAGAACTTTTTGAGAAGGAAAAAAGCATACAGACATAAGGAAGAAGCCATCAGAAGAGGTAGGAAAGCATAAAATACAGAATTAATTGAGGAACCAATCAGAAACAACTCAAACATGAAAGTTCTTCAATCAAGAGAAGGTTTTTGTTACACATAATGAAAAATGGAACGACTGAGGAGAACTGGGAGAAGTTGCCAGCAAAAAATATAGAAAGCTAAAGATTCAGAAGAACCAGAACCCATTGAGAAGGGCAAACTGCGCTGAAAGCTGAAAGAAATCGAGATTTCTAAGAGACATAGACGCTGGAATTTCAAAAATACTATGGGTTTTCGGGCTCCAAAAATTACCAGAAGTAGAATTAATTATGGAGAAACCCTTGAAGCTCCGCCGCAGGCGCGAAATTTTGGTCTTTTTACGGAATTTTTAGGACTTCTTATCGTGGGGGCAAGCGGGGATGTGCCCATTTTCCCAAATTTTGATAAGAATTTATATAGTAGAACGTTATTTTTATTATAATATCATATTGTATAAAGGCAAAAACATATACATAGGAAAAAAATCGAAAAAACGAGAGAAAAAAATAAACTGAACCCATTTAGGAAATATTTGGGATCCCCTTAAGACCCTCATGACAAAAAAAGTTCAAAACAGCCATTATTTTTATTTTTTTTTAAATTTCAAAGCATTCTAACTAGAAAACAAAGAGCCTAGGAGAAAAACCTTAAATACAAAACCTGTAGATCTTATTGAGAACTACAAAAAAGCTCATTAGAGTTACCTTTCCACGGGGCATCGTTTTTGAGAAAATTGACTTCAATACATTTTCAGTGAAATTTCAAATTTGACAGCTTATATCCCGGAGACAACAGCCTGGAATATCAATAAAAAAATTTGTATGTAATTTTTCCAAGAAAACCTGATTCGAGACAATCGGTTCGAAATTACCAAAATTATAAGCGAAAAAGTGGCGCCATGTCAGATTCCCAAAATTTACCAGTATCAAAATCTTTTTTATTTTTTTCCGGGCTTACGAAGCGTCGGAGCGAAAAACATCTAGAATTATTTTCGACGTATTTTTGACTTCTCTATCCGGTGGTATTTTTTATTTTTCTAAATTTGGAAAATTAAATGCAGGGCGTGTATGCACCTTTAGACGCCCTTTTCCAAAATTGAGGAGCTAAGGGCTAAAACCCCTCCGATAGGTCGAAAAGGGCTGAAACTTGGAATATCAACTTTTATGGAACCATTACACCTATATTCTGACGAAAACATAAAACACACAAATTTGATATAAAAATTAAAAGTTAGGAACTCAATTAATATTTTTCTACCTACCCACTACATGTAATACCTAAATCACTATGGGGGCTCAAGCCAAGCCCCCATTGCCCCCATGGTTTTGACGCCTATGCTAAGAGAAGATCAGATCCTTTAGCTATATTTTGAATGTCTGAGCAAAAACTCTGAAAGAAGCACTTCTTCTAACCTTCCTCAATAAATATCTCAAAGAAGGAAGGATTCCGGCATTATCAATTTCAAATGGCAAACTAGCAAATACAGGGTGATTCAAAAGTAAGCGGCATCCTTTCGGGGGCGTATTCCTTGGATAAAAATAAGACAAAAAGTTCCTATTAACATGGGTCCGGAAATGCTTCCTAAAGGAGCTACGCCCCTTCGAATAGGACACCTGAATGACATATTTTTCTCTATAACTTTGAAACCCTTCACAAATGGATTTTGAAAATTGGTGTATTTTATAAATATTTGATGGCAATTAAGATACTAAATTGAAAATTCAAAAATCTCAATCAGTGGCGTCACATACTGGGGAGGGTGATGGTTAAAACATTCCTATTTTTTTACTCGTCAGGTTTTTGCAATTCTGATTGAAAATTCAGAAAGCTTACAGTTTTTTACACAGAAAAGGTACTTTTTGGTTCAATTCGATACAGCGTACCGTTTACGAGAAAATTGACTTTGAAAATTTTCTGATTTGCGTATGTTTCGCAAAAACCTAACAAGTGAAAAAAATAGGGATGTTTTCACCCTCCCCAGTATGTGACACTGATTAAGATTTTTGAATTTTCAATTTAGTATCTTAATTGTCATCAAATGTTTATATAATACAATAATTTTCAAATCCATTTGTAAAGGGTTTCAAAGTTATACAGAAAAACCCGTCATTCAGGTGTCCTATTCGAAGGGGCGTAGCTCCCTTAGGAATCATTTCCGGACCCATGTTAATAAGAACTTTTTGTCTTATATTTATGCAAGGAATACGCCCCCGAAACGATGCCGCTTACTTTTGAATCACCCTGTATATAACAGCAAATTTTCGAATACCTACCTACCGATTGAGTAAATTTATGAGCCAATATTTCAAATAAGTAAAATGAGCCCATAATTAAATTTATTGATTCCTAAATTGGTTTTAAAAATGTTCCCACTGTCCATTTTAAAAGATTATTCCTTCAAAGTCGCATATATTCGTAGATTGTGGTTCTCGTGACGTAACGTCAGGTGTCGAACCCACTCAAGGTACCACAAAGTGTATGCGACCATTTATGGAAACGCCGCGGCCGGCGGGTACATTTTAATTTAGATATGGGTACCTAACTGGTCCGCGAAAGGTTGAAACAATGGTGTCGGTATTCGGGGTACCGGTTACGCCGTTATATAGACTTTTTGTACTGGGAATGCACGTCGGAGTATTTCGGTTAAACGATTTTAAATGGTTACTGGGAATTGGTATGGTAGGTATGTTTTTGTTGTTTTAATTAGATTGAAAGAAGAAAACCTGATTTTGTTAACTTGAGTTTTCAGTTGAACAAGCAAAAAGTTCACAAGCCATATGAGGTCCAAGTTGAAGATCTTTGATGTTATGAGATCCATTGAAAAAAAGTTTAAAAATCAGTATACTGCTGTCAACTGAAACATGTTTTCGAATTTTGCACGATTGCATATGCAAGCAAAAACATAATAATGAATACATAATCTAAAAATATAAAAATGACCATATCAGTTACAGAGCCAGCAAAAATTCATATGATTCATCGAATTATCGTTTAAATTTAAGGCAGGTCATGAAATTTTCAGCTCTGAAACAATATGTTTTGGGCGTATTCAAGCAGTATGACTCATTTTGAATATCCATTATTATAGCCAAAGCCATTTCTAGTCCTCTGTCGTTTTCAGATTGAAAACTTTGAGAATTTACTTATAATCAAGTCAATAACATTTCTAGACTCATCTATTTTCGTATCGATAAAACATGAAACGCATGATGATATGGTTTTTAGTTGAGCCAGTTAAAATGAAATTTCAATTTCAGATCTACTGATGGCGCTGGCTGGTTTATTTTCGTACAGGAGCACGTATGCACGATTATCGGACAGAAATAGAATTCGGCTGTCGGCTTTCTAGACGGTCGTTTTTACTAAACAGCAAACGAGAAAAACGAATTTTTAATGACTGGTTCCGAGCAAGGATGATTGAATATTCTAGATGCCAATAGTATACCTAAGT